ATTAAGACACTGTTTTGATTTTTAGATCAATGCTCTGCTGGACGGGGCAGATTTCCTGTATAGTGCTGGATCAGACCACACAATTAGAAGTTGGCATTATGAAAAGTTAACTGCAGAACATAAATGCAGAAAGGTATACATATATATTTCATGATAAAAAAACCTGTAGTGACTAGCGTTATTTGTGTAACAATTTACTCTGAATGTACATTTATTTGTGATGAAGTTGGTTTATATTTATTTGCTACATAGTTGTACATTTGTAAACCATGTGAAGTGAATGTACTTTTATTTAATATATGAGCATCCATATTCCAAAAAAATATAATAATTGAGATTCTCTTCACCATTTTTTTGTCAACCTCTACATAAAATACAAAATTCTGTTTTCTAGGATGCGCACAATGACTCTGTTAGTGCTCTGGGAAAATCTGGGTGCAATTTATTCTCTTCATCTCATTCATGTATTAAGGTAAGTCAACTGTGAGACATGGTTAGAGAAATTGACTTGATGCATGAATAAACATAATCTTAATTTAGCTAAAGTGCCAACAATCTCATTGTTTGAACAGTCTTTATTCAAAATTAGCAACATCTTGGAATTAGCAAAAAAATTGCATGACAGCAAAATGACATGTTTTACAGTTAAGTGAACAATACTACTGGTCCTTATTGATGGTTCATTGGCTGGTATGTCGACAAACAACTAATGCTTTTATCCCTGTTACTTCTCCATATGAATTATACTGTAAATATTCTATTCTACTGCTATTTGGGTAGTACAAGTAACACACATGGCTGAGATGCATCATAGAGGGCTGTTCATTGCCTTGTTGCCATACATGTGACAATAGCAGTATCAACAGGATTCAAAACAACTCTCAGAAGATCGCCTGTCCTAACAATTGAAAGATGATGCTACAGAACACGTGCAACTGCAGTTTTTTTCACCACATTCTATTACTCTACAGGTATGGAATGGTAATACATTAGAACCAGTGCACACTATCCCTGGTCTTCACCACTGGGTGAGGGCGTTGGCCATAGACCATAGTAAAGGTAGACTATACAGTGGATGCCATAATACTATCTATGTATGGGACACTGGCAACAAATTTGCACTCAAGAGGAAGTTGGATCATACACATGGTTCTGTACATTCTTTATGTATTACACCGAAGTATCTTATCGTAGGTAAGTGCTGCTCGATATTGTACATTGCCTACAGCTTGGTTTCACAAATTCTTACCCAATCTTTGTACAGTATTAGTATTTCTTCTGCTGTCATTTCAGCATTGTACTCTTTCTCTATAACAGAATGTGTATTTTTTGAAAATTCTGGAAATAATGCAATTTAAGATTTTAAATTTGTTATTTTGAATTGTTAACACCTTAAAATATGCCCATAATGTAAGAAGTCAAATTTGTGTGGCCTCCAATCATGCAAAAGCTCAAAAAAAACAAAAACAAAGAGTTGCTGTCATTCTGGAAAAATTGTTAAATTTTGCAGTTTCAATTTTGTATTCGATACCACAACAAGCATGTATTCATTAATGTTTTTGAATACACATATTAAAGGTTCATTTGGACTGACAAAACATATTCTGCAAAAAAAAAAAACATTCTTCTATTGTATTGCATGTGGTGCACATCACAATTATGCAAAATTACAAAATAAGGTGCAGATTTCAAAGTGCATGATGACTAAAAAAAATATTCTTTTTTTGTTTTTCATTTTTGTACATGCTATTAGATTATAAACTACCGAAAACATGTAAAACCTTTAACACGAGTATAATTATTGTAGACTTTGTTCTTGTAGATACATTTCACATTCCTAAAATCATGATTTCCTCAAATTGTGCGAATAATCAAAGAAATAATGAGTTCATGATTTTGAGAATTGAGTACATTTGATGCTTTATTGAGTGGTGAGACCAGGCTAGATCAAGCCATTCTAATAAGACTAACTGTATTTTATTCTCAGGTACCTATAACCAGAATATTCAACTCTATGATGTTGAGAAATTAAAACATGTACGAACATTGAGTGGTCACGTGGGTACGATAACATCGTTATTGACGTCGCCATCCGGCGGATATCTATTCTCGTCATCATACGATAACACTGTGCAGGTGAGAGTTCAATTTGTCTTTAATAGCGTTGATAGTTAAAGCAATACTATTGTCAGGACTGTGCAAGTGCGACCTCCACCGTTCTCTGGTTGATCTTTATCTTCATCACAGGCCCTACCTGCTATACACATTGCTAACAGCTCCTTTGCGTGCCTGATCAAATCACTCAATTCAACTACAATCAAATACAGCTCTTCCTAACTGTGAATCAGGCATGGATTTGTTAGGAGGCCGTGGCTTTAGTGAAACCCTGCAAATCAGATGATGGGTAGCTTGATGGTGGTCACCTTTGGTTTCAATCGTAACAGTACCATGTTCTATTCCTTATGTGATTTTTTTAATGTTTTCACCACCGGACTTTGTCGCCTAAATTTTTCTGTAATTTTTCTTATATTCTCCATATTTCTTGAAATGAACCCCAATTTTAAGTACCGGTATATTTTCAGTTTTTACTAAAAATTGCTATTTTCGCTGAAGGAATGATTCAGTGAGAATAGAATCCAGCGAATTCAACTCGTCAAACATCAGTGAAAATAAAATCCACACAAAACACCCAAAGGGTCTTTTCAGTGAAAATTAATTCCAGCTAAAATAAAGTATTTCACAGTATTTTGTGAATTTGTGATGAAAAGAGGGAGCTGGTGATGAAAAGGCTATAATCGTCGTGTCTCGTCCTGTTCGATATGGGACTCATAGCAACGTATACAACGCATGTAAAATACATTGTTTATTTACATAAAATTCAAACACGCACTGGGCGATGACCACCATGCTCAAACCCTGATGGCACATATCCAGTTGTAAGTTGTTTGACACCCACTGACTGATTCTGTAATAACCTCGCCTGCTATATTCTACAGGTGTGGAATTTGGAGAATTTCCTGCCAATACAAAGTCTGTGTCGACATGAAGGCAGTGTTAACGCTGTGGTACTTCACAATGATCTCTTATTTACTGGGGCAGATGACAAGGAAATAAAGGTAGATGTTGATTTATCAGTAAGAAATGTGGACTTCGATCAGTGTAGTAGGCCTTAAACTTTAATATATTTGTGTAATCTTGCAGCTGAGTTCTTGTATTCTCAAGCAGTTAGTTTATAGAAAGCTAAATAAGATTCGATGTCTATAGACCCGTTAAAGCGGGAGACTCGTCACCTGTGCATGCGCGGAAATCGAGTCCCAAGCAATAACAACACATGCTAAAAACGCAAAGACTCATGGGTAGACGCTTGTTTGTAAACAATGATACGCTATGGCCATTTGACGCATGCGCAGGTGACGACTCTCTCGCTTTAAGAACACTAACATAAACAGTGTGTTTATTTTTTGAGATCTTTGGTTGCTACGATTATGACTAATCATATTTATATGACTTCTTGCTGTTTTTCGTCACTTTTTACCAAATATAATTTTTTTTTCAAATTTTTCTAAAATATTTTTATCAAAAAATGTAGCCAAGAGGTTATTATGTTTATTTGGTCTACAAGTAATAAAGAAACTATTGAAAAAAATACATAAAAATTAGCAAACGATTTATAAGTTTTTCATATTTTACACATATTTTATAAACTTACAAAGGAAAGTATGCTGATAAAAATAATCAACAAAAAAAACTACAGTTGATAAAGTAATTACATAAACATGTACATATCAGCTCCATGTGCATGTAAAAATAACACTATTACATGCCTTGTACTGTAAAATATGTATTAGAAGCCGTGGTTTCAATTAAAATGGTACATTGCATAAGTCTGGTTATGCCACACGCAAGTCTGATTTGTGTGTACGCGCAAGTGGCATATTGACAAAAATGCACCTCACCTTTTCCACGCGCAACTACCCTGTAGAGGCACCCTTACATACATGAACAGAGGGGATGTGGTTTCTATTAGAACATCTACACATATGAGAAATTGTGGTGTTTGGTTCTCAAGAAATGGATGCGACTTCTATTAAGGATGCGGCTTTTAATACAGATTTTACAGTAGCAGCTAAAGAATGCAAAACTCAACTATTTTAAAACTACACCTGCCTTCTCTCATTTCAGATCTTCAAGTATTTCAAGTTAGTTCATCACAGCAGTTATGGGATTCACATAACTTCAGAAGACACATGAATCAAGGCTCTAAACTACAGAAAAGTGATCAGATGAAATTTGTGAATCACAAAATCCTATTGGCAGGTGCAAAACACTCTTCCTTTGTTTGTGTTTTCTATTTTTCAGAATCAAATTAATATTTCTTGATGGTTTCACACACAAACCTGTGTTCATCTATGTTATTTAATTTTATAATTTGTCTAGAAAAGACGAGTGACCAAATAAAATAATTCAGTTAAACCTAGTTATTTTGGACGTGGGGATAGTACAATGCCAGTTCTCAGTCTGTCATCTCTACAACTAAAATGCAGATATTCTGTTCTATTAAGAGAAAGTATTATTATGCACATGACCAAACATATTCAAATTAAAATCATTTTAATTTTTTTAATTTTAAGTAGATGTAAAATTAAAATCAAGAAAGTTTTAAAAATTGAACTGAGAAGTTTGAGTCTAGTTGTGATGCTGCTACATGAAATGATGTATTATTGAAAAAGCGTTACATTTTCGCGACTAGAAATGTTTATTTCATAACTTTAGAGCATTCACAAGAAGAAAAAAATTCTGGAAAGTCACTGTGACTCCATGACTTTGAGGACCCAAGTGAAATCCACACTGCTACAAAAATTCAAAATTGTTTCTGACTTGAATAATTTAAGAAAATTGGTCTCTTATGTAATTAAAATGAATTGCTGCTTAAAACACATTAGACAAGGCCTGAGAAAAGTAGACCACAGAAGTTTGTAGTCATTTAAAGTATGGCAAATAGACCTTAACAGCAAGACTTGTTTTTACCTCTCATAGTTTTCTATTTTCTCTTATGGTATTTGAAATAGTGTATGCGATGGCAGAAGAGAATGGTACAATCAAACCTATGTTGGTGACCACTTCTATATTAAGTCTACCTGCCTTTTATAGTGACCATTTTTAAGCATAAAGACCACCTGTCTTATGTGATCACTCTTTCACCAATACGTCTACAGATTCACCTTGAGCATCCCGTTTATAAAACAATTCTTAGGTCAAATTTTCCTTGATTTTGATCAACTCAAATAAATTAGTTTTTGTTTCATAGTCTCTCATTGTTTTCTGGGCAAATATTATATCAAATGTATGAATTGGCATTCCATAAAAAAAAAAAAATTTATAGACCACCTGTCAATAAAGACCATTTTAATGAAGTGGTTGCTATACACAGGTCACACTGTAGACTATTGTAAAGGTAAAAACAAGTCTCATGGCAGCAATTCGCATCTAAGATCTATTTACTGTAAACCAGGACATTCATGATGATTGGATTTTTCTAAAAGTCACTCCTCGGTTCCAAGATCTCAATGTGTAATGTACACTAGCTGCTACAACATTTCTTGGTTATCGCCAATTTGTGTAAGTGTGTTTTTTTAGTGAAATTCATGCTAGTTATATTAAAAGTTCTGCTGCGTTTGGAATTCGTATTATCGTATTTAGTGGGTTTGAATTGAGAAAAGATTGCAATTGGGTTTGAGATTAAAATATCGTAAACTATTTTATTTTCACAAGAATTAAAACATTTGTCAAGTCAAGAAAAAACTCAAAATTGTGTAGCAGTGGAATTTCACTGGGGTTCTAAAAGCACTAAGTCTTTCGAAAAATTTGTCCATACAAATGTCATCAAAACACGCAAAGTCCTCGTAGTGAAAATCAAATCGCATGTTCTCATAGTTGCATATATTATTGAATGCTAAAAAAAAATTACTGAAACTAAATTGTTTTTGTCAGTCTGGTCAAATAGAACAACATCAAAGTCCCCCTTGTTTTCTATACCAAACCTAAAATTTAAACACTAAACTGTAAATTTATAAAAAATAAACAAAAGTAAATAGCCAAGTTGACCAAGAGGGCAGTATTATAATACTTTCTTTTCCCCTTTGGTATGATTATATACTTTTCATGCCAGTACTGTCATGGTTTGATAGGGTATAAACAACAAATTTACATAATAGTATATTTATAATATATAGTTTATTTCATTGTCTTTGTTGTGCCAAATATGATTCTAGTCAATTTCTTTTACATAAATTATAATAATAATTATAATAATAATAATAACTGCACTAAGTGTGCATTTACTGTGTTTCATCATATATTTCTAGTTCGACTTTTCAGGGACATTTGCTTGGAGATAGCGTTAGTATTTACTATAGTGAGATGAAAGCAGGGTAGCTACCTGTTTTTTTGTTAGCATGCAGCAATAAACATCTCTGTCTGTGAACTCTACAAATGGGAGTATTCTCTATAACCTCTGACCTCACCTGTTTAATTCAGTCATATGCATAATTTGCATAGTAGGTATTTCACCTGACTACTAGGTCATGTGATGCATTTGCTTCCATAATGAGCAATTTAAAGGCTTGTATCTATTTTGATGACTTCAATACATGAAACAATGAATCCCTCCCTTGTTTTAAGTCTCTGTCAAGAACTACAAATAAAAATGGAAAAACTGCCCATTTTGTTCAAAGTTATGAAATGACTGAAAATGCAAAAACAACATATTGATTCATGGTTCAGGTAAATGTATGTATACCTGTCTCTCAGTTTGTAATTTTAACAAAGATTGAGCAAATAGATGTTGTCACGGGATACAGAGTTGCCCAGATCAGAGTACTTGACTCTTCAAAATTTATTGCAAATGCTTGAAACCCACCTGAATCAAACTAGAATTTAGCTACCTACCTTTGTACAGTCGCATTTTATTTCAAAAAAAAAAAAAAAATGTCATCTCTCGTGAGCACAACTGTTCAATATGCAAATAATTTATTTAATAATTTCTGACAACTGATGATATTTTTCTCCTTGTAATTTGTTTATACGGTGATGAGAGGTGTAACAATATGGCAGTTATGACTGATGGTGACCTTGCATACCTATAATTTGTGTTCGAAATAATGAATTGTGAGGGGCTTGGAGTGGCATGAAAAATTAAGTGTGAAAAATCAGAAAAAAAAAACACTGAATACATTTAAAACATGTGATATATATTGATGAAATTAAAGCTTAGCTTCCAGACCCAATCTGATACAAAAATAAAATATCGCCTCCTTCATTTGCAGTTTTTTTGTTTACACTTTAATGATGAGACCTAAAATTTAAATAGCTATTTCTGTTTGGTTAGTTATTTGCTTGTACCACAGATTTTCAACTGAGGACATTTTTATATTAGTTTTAGAATATCTGAAGCTGAAAATCAATTCTTCACCACTGTCACCGCCGTAGATTCACAAATTGAAATCATTTCTGTCTTGTGTAAATAACCCAACAGTAGTTTGTTAGTTTCTTGTATTACTTTTTAAAACTACTCAACCCAGAGCTTCCATTAAAAAAATGCTGCAGTTGCTAGTTTCCAATTCTCATGAGTGCTGGTTGTGCATGAGAAGTTTTTTATTTTCTTAAAAATATTCGATAGGCCAATTGAATAAAATGTATTGATTATGTTTAGTTTAGCTTCCCTGTGCTGTAAATTTTTGAACTTCCTAGATTTGGTGAAATCTTGTAGATGGCATAGTTTGGATCTCATTACCTGCTACTGTAAACCCATTCATTTTTTGCTGGGTCCCCATTTTATCATCTTTGCTGGTAAGTGATATCTGCGTGATTTAAATTTGTGTGAACATATAAGATTACAATAAACTTGTTCCACTGGAAAATCTGTGAATCTCAGACCTAGTGAATATGATCAGATATCAATTCCCAGTGAAAATTATCGTGTTATAGTATGCCCTCACAATTAAAGTCTGGAATGAAATTCAAACACGGGGTTTAAAAGAAACAATTTTCATTGTGCATGGGTATTGTTAACTTGCCCAAACTTATAAAAGTACATTGTACAAGCTCATGTACTGGGGGTAATGCACTTTACAGTCAACAAGCACGAGTTGAACTTCATTCAGCCCTCAGATAG